CGAAATTGCAATTACACAAAGCACCTAATCCCAAACCATGGCAGCTCCATAGTATATCATCAGGGGTATATCTGTTCATTTCAATACCGACTACGTCGGTCATCTCTCCACGAATCTCCGAACCCTCCGCGTCCGCGACCACCGCGGCCCCGGCCTCGTCGGTTGCGCCCACCACCAAAGTCGGGTCCATTATCGACGAAGAAATCTTCATCCTCGAAGGTGATGCGACGGCGCTCGTCTCCTCCGCGTCGGGGAAACTCGCCCTTTCGTAGCAAATCGTCGAACCGATCCAAACGCCGGTCGGCCACCTCCCGAGGGACAGGGAGGTAGTAGAGCTTGGGCTTGGTAGTAGTAGACATGAAGAGTTCATCCAGCGGCTTGAATCCTTGTCCAGGTCGTGAACTCGAATCGGCCGTATCTGGGCCACTGGGACGTCGAGGAGCGCCCATCTCGGCCCGTGGCCCGGTAGGCGGAGGTCGAGAAAAGCCTGAGGCGTCAGGCGCACGCATATGTTGGGATGAAGCGCTTCGCGGATCAACCTCCTCGAGAACAGCCTCTACGCCATCGTCGGTTGGCTCATACCGCACTTCCCAGCGCGCGGGAGGGCCACCGCGCTGTCGCGATCCTTCTTCCTTCTCAATCCACAGTGACAACTTGTCTTCCGGAATAAAGTCCACGAATAGAGTCTTGCGGTTGCGTTCGTTGGGCCATACCGTACCATGGAGGGCGGTGCGGACTCGCGACGCTGCCGAGACCGACGTAAAACTAGCAAAGCAATGTGTCTTGATGGGGTCCAGGTAAAAGTCTACGACCACATCCGGATTGGGTGAGGCATCTGGAGGGGACGCGAGACTGACAAGGTGGTTCTTGAGCGCGACCGGCTGGAGAGGACGCATCAACCCGCCGACATAGAGAGCTGCTGTAGCAGCATGCACGGCAGGCTCGACGTCGGCATCTTCCATCACCGCATCCGCTGGTGGAGGGGAGACGGGGCGAGTCTGCTCCGTTTCCTTGGCAGCAAAAAGCCCCTTGAAGCGAACGTCATGTTTCAGGGGCGCGCCTTTCTTGGATGTTTCATCTTGCACAGGCGGGGCCTCCTCCGGCGCGGTCTTGCGCCCCGCGCGTTCTTCAGGGGTTTCTTGCGGACCGGAAGCTCCGTCCTGCCGTGCCTCACGTTCTTTGTCCGCGGAAACCTGGTCTTCCGGTAAAACGACTCGGGGTGTCTCGTCTAGGGCTTTGGCCTTTTTGCTTGCGAGCGCTTCCGGTGTTGGCACAGGACTCTGGCTGCGACGCTTCCTCTTGCGCCTGTCCTCCAGCACTTCTTCTGTAGGCAGGGGTGTTGACAAGCCGGTGTTCATTTCCGAGGGGACTGCAGCGGGCGGCGCAGCGGTCTCGCCAGATGCAGCTGGTTCTGTAGGTTTTGGCTCCATGTCCTCAGACTGTTCCGGTGCTGCTTCTCCAGGAGCCTGCTCTACCGGTGCTGCAGCGGTGTCATTCTCGGTCTGGTCTTGCGGGGCGGAAGTATCGGCGGGTTGGTCGACAGTAGTGGTATCGACGGGTTGAGCTGGCTCCTCAGGTTTCGGTGATTCCTGTGCAGGTTGCTCTGGCTGTTCTTGTTGCTGTTCTTGCTTAGCAGGTCTTCCGGCGGGAGCTTCGTCGGTCACCGGCTCCGGCTTAGACTCAGGAACCGCGTCACCCTGTTCCTCTGGCTGTGCTTGTGGTTGTCCCTGCTCCTGTGCTGGCTCCTCAATCTGTTTATCTTTCACTTCGGTCTCAGTAGCCTCGGGTTGAGCTGGCGCATCCGCAGCTGGCTCTGGCTCTGGTTCTGGCTGCTTCGCGTCGACGGGCTGCGTTTCCTGCGGCGCAACATCCTCTTCGGCGGCCGGCTCTCCGTTCGCGACAGCATCCTTTTCATCGCGGGCATCTTCCTCCACCAATCGGTCAATAATCTGTTGTTTCACGCGGAGACCGGTCTGCGCAATGCCGCGCCGCTTCAGCTCGGCTTTAAGATCGGTCACCTTCCATTTCGAATAGTCGGTCATTGTAGCGGAAAGCACGCAGCGTGATAGACTCGAGCATGTAGAGCGTATCGGCGATGAGAAATTTCGTTCGGGTAAGTTCAAAAGGGCGTGGTCATGGCTGGGAGGTGTTGAAATGCGATTCGATGCCCCTGCGGTGGTCGGGCACGAGAAGTGAGTCTTTGAGCTGCGACCGATCGAGATGATGTCGCGCGCTAGGCTGGATGAGGGCGGTGGTCACTGGGTGCGTAGCTATTTCCGGTATGGTGACTTGCCTAATCCGGTCTGGCTGAGTAAGGCTCCACTTGGAGAAAAATACCCGATTGGGAGCTCCAGCTGAAGATGCTTCTCTGTATTCAGCACAGCTAGAGGTAACACATTGTCCTTTAAGTATTTGCCGGGTGTTGTTGATGTATCAAGTCTACTATGTTTGTTTGCGGCCCAAGATGTCTTCTTAGTCGGATATTCCCACGCAATACTAGCTACTACCAGTGGTAAGTTACATTGTTGCAGTAAGTAGCACCGGAATTTTGAATATATTTACATCATACCTCGAACATGATACTAGGAATAGGATGAAGTAGTGGGAGAGTTCAGTAAAGCTCAAGCTCAGGCTAGATGTAGTTATCAGATTATCAACAGCCCCCGCACTTGTTGATTCCTGCATATTAACAGCCAAGAAATAGATAAGCGGAGTGCACCTCCGAGATGACGCTTCATGATAATGAGGTTTCATCCGGAGCGACCTGATAACACGTAGGTGGCTGATACAAGGCGAGCCTATCAATAAGCAATGGACGGACATTTACAGGGGAGAGCTTCTTAGTGGCCAGCCTGGCGTCTTGAACATGGTTCCCAGCCCGGTCTTCCAGAAACCATTCCGGCAATTCTTCACGAAGTTCTCCCGATTATATCCCGTCTTCTAGAAGACTATCACCCACATAGAACCACATACTATTGACTAGAGTCCACTCTCTTGGAACTACACATCTCCGACAACGGCCGATAGTCCCCCAACTAATGGACCCCAAGCCGAACTCCGAAGATAAAGCAGATAAGATCGGGGGCTAGGCCGTTATCCACTTACTATCGACCCCATCTACTACGTTGGGGCGGGATAAACGGCTAAAGCGTTGGGCGATCGACTCATGTATATATTGCGGTGAGAGCCGACTGAACGGGGTCGTAGTAAACATTTCTCAGACTTACACTTCGTCTTCGAATACCACTCACTGTAGACATATCACCATGGGCTCCACCACAGCAAATACCATGCTCCCCCCAAACAACCCCATCACTCCCTTCTGGCGCACCCAACTCGACCCGCTCGATGACATCCGGAGCACCCCCGACCTGCCCCCGCAAAGCGACATCGTCATCATTGGCGGCGGCTACTCGGGCGTCACGCTAGCTTACTATCTCCTCAAACAGCTCGCTGAGCAGGGCGACAAGACTACTACTATTACGCTGCTCGAAGCGAGGCAGATTTGCTCGGGCGCGACGGGTCGAAATGGTATGCTCCAATCCATAAGTATGAGGTACACGATGTTAACCTTGAAAGTGAAGGCGGCCATCTCCGCCCCGACATTTACGGTCACATTCCCACCTACATTGAGCGCTCCGGACTAGAAGCGGGTCTGGAGATCGCCGAGTTCGAATACGCCCATATCCAAGCGCTGAAAGATCTCCTCCGCGAGGAGAACATCGATTGCGATCTGAACATTACCCGGAACATGAATGTGTATTTGGATGAAGAGTCGGCGGAGAAAGCCAAGCTCGCGTATGAGATGTTGCAGGCGAGGGGTGTCAAGTTGGCTGAGGATCTGCATTATACGGGGAAAAGGGATGCGGAAGTGGTGAGTATATATTCTCTTTCACCCATCAGTTACTTCCCAATGAGATAGGAAAGATACTAAAAAGGATACAGATATCAGGCGCCCACAACGCCAAAGCCTGCATTTCCTACACATCAGGCACACTCTGGCCCTACAAATTCATCCTCGGCCTACTAAGCAAAATCATCAAATCCCCGCAATTAAACGTCCAAACCCACACCCCGGTGACTTCCATCACCACAGAAGACAACATCCACACAATCTCCACCCCCCGCGGCACTCTCCGCGCCGGGAAGATCGTCTACGCGACGAACGCTTACACGGCCGGCTTACTCCCCGAGTATTCGGCAAATATCATCCCCTGCAAGGGAATATGCTGCCATATCACGGTCCCCGAGGGAGAGGGCAAGAAACCCGCACCGTTCCTCCCTTACTCATATGCAATCGGGTACGGATCTGACGTTGTCGGCGGGGGCAGTTATCTGATTTCCAGACCGGATGGAAGTATCATTGTGGGTGGTGCGCAAGCGACGTTTAAGAATAAGCGAGAGGAATGGTATGGTGTTGTAGATGATACGAAGTTGATTGAGTCAGCGAAGAATTACTATGATGGGTACATGCAGCGGACGTTCCGGGGATGGGAGGATAGTGGGGCGTATGTGAAGGAGATCTGGACAGGTGGTGAGTGTCCCATGCTTCGGTTCTTTTGTATTTGCTATTTAGTGTCGAGGGAATGACTTGTGCTGACTCTGGTGACAGTTATGGGCTACTCGGCCGACTCGCATCCGCATATCGGTGAGGTTCCCAATAAACCCGGGCAGTATGTCTGTGCTGGGTTTAATGGCCATGGAATGCCGGTGATTTTGCTGTCCGCCAAGGGACTGGCGGAGATGATCCAGAAGGGGAAGCAGTTCGAGGAGACGGGAATGCCACGGTTGTTTAAGACGAGTGTGGAGAGGATGGAGAAGGCGAGGAATGGGCCGGAGGGGGGAGATATCTTTGCATAGGATGCTGATATACAGTTGATCATGTTTACGTTGGCGTATAATTGAGGAGATGTCTATATGGCTGATATATATTAACTTTCCTATAATATCCGAGCAGAGCATACATTGCATGAACCAATCCACCCACCACAAGATATAAATCAATGCACCATCGAATTCAAAAACTCCCCCAACCAATCATAATCATACCCGACCTCCAAACCCCCCATCTCCTGCACCTGTCCATGTCCCTGATCCAGCCCATTAGCACTACCATCCTGCACCCCCTGCCCCTGCCCACGCCCCTGCCCCTGCCCCTCCACCCCACCCCCAAAAACACCCCCCCACTTCAACCTAACCGACTCATACTTCCCAATCGAATAAAAAAACACATCTTCATCCTCATCCTCACCCTGCGCCTCGAGTCTCGCCAACGCAGCCGCCTGGCCCAAATTCCCAATCAACCGATCCATGACTTCCATCAAATCAACCGTTTGCCGTACATGCCCCCGGTCCCAGGCCGGTTCATCATCATCATCCAGCGTAGAGAGCCGATATAGGGCTGCTAGGTGTCGCACGAGCTGCGAGAAGATCGGAAAGGGAAAGCCTGCGTATTCGGCTGGTGGGATTGCGAGGAAGGTGGTGAGCCAGGTGGATGTTGCGGAGAGGCAGGCGTGGAGGGATTCGAGGTGGTGGAGCTGGTTGGTAGTGGTACTAAGGCTAGGGGGTTGTTTTAGGAGGGCGGATTCGTGGATGGTGAGGTGTGTGTTGGAGTGGTGGAGGTGGAGGATTCGGTGGCGTTGGGAATTGGGGGTGAGTTTGTTTTGGGTTTGGTGGAGGTGGGTGGTGAGGGTGTGGGTGTAGATTGAGAGGGGTGGTGAGATGAAGGATGGGAGGGAGGTGTGGTAGGGGTCTGTGGTGGTGGTGGTGTTGATTCTCTCATTGATGAGTTGGAAGCGCGCTTGTTGGGCGAGGATCTCGTCGTTTAGACATTCTGGGTGTTCGAGGAGATGGTGTAGGCATTCGTCCATGTGAGGGGTCCAGCGGAGGGGGTCGCTTTTCTCGAGGAAGAGGGAGATGCTGGGAGTTAGTTAGCAGTGGGTTTATAGTACTTAGTAATAGTTGGGATGGGTGTGGATGGTGTACCTGGAGGTTAGGAGGAAACAGCCTAGCACGGCGCGTCTCTCGTCCATTGTTCGGGCTGGCGCTGGGGAGGGATCCTCGTCTGGGTGAGTTTGAAGTATACTCAGGAGTGATGGTTTGTCTCCGCCGGGGGCTTGGTTGAGCATGAGGTCGAAGACTACGGCTGTGGCGAATTGGCTGTAGATGGTCATGTTGAGCTTCTTGAATAGTTGCTGGTTGGACCTGTAGCTGTTAGCATGGGTCATCATAGGGAAAGGGTAATCGTACCAGGCTATATATACCAGGAGACCTAGGAGGAAGTCGAGATCGCGACCGTAGCAGTCATGAACCATGCGCTGAGCTACAGTCTCGCGGATTCTATCACAAAGTGTACGTCGCTGACTCGGGCTCTTCGACGTGACTGCCATGATGCATAGCCAGAGGAACGGCCGGTCACTACGTAGCTGCTGTGCTGTTGTTCCTGGTGGGAAATACACGAATGGCAGATAGGGTAGTTTCTGAGTGACAAAGATGCTCAGGTACTCTTCAGCTTGTGACAAGGTCGGCTCTGCTGTACTCGCATGTGGCATCTGTCCTCCACTATTCGACTCATCTCGGGAGGAGGTAGCTCCAACCTGGGCAAAGTGATTAAGAAACCCGCAGTCGATGGATTTCTCCGCCGTCGAGACTGTCCGAGTAACCTTGATCTGGGAGCGTGGCGGTGGTGGATGATGATGGTCTTCATCCGGCTCTCGTCGCAGCTCCTCAATCAACTCAGCATAATCCCCCGCATTGTTAGAAGACTGCGCGCGAAGCAGCGTCACCAAATCATCGAGCTTCTTCTCCAACCGCCCTGTCTTGGACAGCGAGGACTTGCGCGCATTTTGCCGTCGATGGAAAGCCGATTGCCGACATTCTTTATTCAGGCGTTGACACCTGCCAATACTGTCAGACTCGAATCATCCTAGAGTATACCGTAAGACAGACCTCTGGCATCGCCCACCCCCTTTGGGTAGGATGCATTTGCATTTAGACTGCGAACAATTCATGCAGGCGCGGCCGTACGGGGCCGGGGCGAGATCATACTGGGTGGGGAACTGATCCATGGCGACAAGCGGACTTGAGCATAAATCATGACACAAGAGATGCAAAGAGGGTCGGATTTCTGTCAGATTTGGGCGGCAATGCCGTAGGATTTAAGAGTCGCAAACCCCGTCGGGGTGTAAACACCGAAGGATTTGCCATCGGACATTACGGCGTTATCACCGTGCCCTAATCCGAGACGCCGTTGGAGTTCTTGGCGAGGGTGGTATATAGATCGCTGGCCAGGAACATTTGACAATTCATTATATCTTCACAAGTATTCTCTTGCAAATAGGTACTGGCGGTTTTCCAAGTCATACACCTTCACGATTGACTCACCATAATGGCCCCAACCAATACCGCCGCCTGGATCAAGTCCGAAAAGGCCTACCCTCTGGAAATCGACAGCGCTCCATACACCCATCCCGGCGAGAACGAACTCGTAATCAAGAATCACAGCATCGGGCTCAACCTCGTCGACTATGCTCGTCAAGACCTTGGCTCCGCCCTCTTCGCCTGGACACCCTATCCCGCTATAATGGGCAGCGACGTCGCCGGCGAAGTAGTGGAAGTCGGACCAGGCCCTATTTCCTCCCGATTCAAGCCCGGAGACCGTGTCCTCGGTTTAACAGGCGAACTGAAAAGCACGCGTTCCTCCAAAGGTGCCTTCCAGAACTACGTTGTGCTCCACGCACACATGACCTCCCCCATCCCGTCCGATCTATCCTACGCTGATGCGGCCGGAATCCCCCTCGGAATATCAACCGCTGCATGTGGCCTCTTCCAGAAAGACTACCTCGCGCTGCAGCATCCCACTGCTCCTCGAGCCCCATCAACAGGACAAACAGTCCTCATCTGGAGCGGATCATCCAGCGTCGGCAGCAACGCTATCCAGCTTGCCGTGGCGGCGGGGTATGAAGTGATTACGACGGCTTCGCCGCGGAACTACGAATTTGTCAAGTCTCTTGGTGCGAGCTATGTCTTCGACTATAAGTCTGAGACGGTAGTCGAGGATATCATTGTTGCGTTTATGGGGAAGTCTAGTGCTGGTGCATTGGCTATTGGGCCGGAGTCACCAGAAAAGTGTGGTCAGATTGTGGCGAGGGTTGAAGGGAGGAAATTTGTTGCGTTGGTGAGTCCGCCGTCTGGACCTCTGGCAGATGGGGTCGAGTCGAAGTTCGTCTTTGGTGGTGATTTGGCTGAGAATGAGGTTGGGCCTGCTATCTTTATGGATTTCCTGCCGGCCGCGTTGAAGGAGGGGAGCTTTGTTAGTGCGCCCAAGGTGGAGGTGGTGGGTGAAGGATTAGAGTCGGTGCAGGGGGCGTTGGATGTGTTGAAGAAGGGAGTTTCGGCGAAGAAATTGGTTGTTTCGCTGTAGGTGGGTTGGTGGTGATGATTATGGGTTGGCTTTGTGATTAATTGAGTTTTGTTCTAAGCGGATCTTAGACATCTTCAATGCGTTGAATTTTTTTACTAATATATAATTAATTGTGACCACATGTGGCACCAGTCCTGGTATCGAAAAGCAAGGTTAAGGAGGCCTGTTATAGCTGTGGAATGTGTTGGAGATGACATGAAATCATGATGTTTTATCTGAGGTATAATCAAAATCATATACTTGACTAATATCAACTAGTGTGGATATCTTTAAAAGCGGAGTGTCAGAGCGTTGCTGGTTTGATAAGCTGAAAATTGTCTTCATAAAGTAATGTAATCGTTCAAATATATTACTTAAGTGAAGGCCCCGAGGAATGTGATGTTCAAGGTCACGGTTCTTTGAACATTTTCCACGATATACATGCTCGGCCCGATAGCCAGGGAAGGGGCCTAGACTGAATAAAGCTTTCCATGGACCGGTACATTTCGTATTCGCCAAGACGATACTGAAGCGGATACTGAATACAGCCACGCCATCGTCTCTTCGTTCTACTCGCTGAACGTGCTCGCTCTGTTGTTATAGACCACTTAATCCATTAATGGTATACATGGCTATGCTTGGAGAGCCCGGGATCGGAGAGACACAGAAATGCCGGGAAGCGGGACCGGGGGCGGATCCTCGGTGGAACCTAAATCCGTAGACTCAATCCTGCCTCAGGATCAATGTAAGACATGTGATTGGCCCGTGATGGCGTATGAGTCAAGACCGGAAAACTCCCCGGGGGACCAGAGATCGCCATCATCTTGCGTTTCCCGCCCTTTTTTTCCTTTTAACTTTCCCTCCTGTTCATTTGTGTGTCTACTGCTTCATCTTGCTTCTCTCCCTCTCTCATAGTTTTAACTTCGTCCTGCTACTTGTTTTGCATCCATACGTCCGTTAAGCACACGCGTCCGTCCAGTATGGTCGCCCAAGCTGCCGCCTCCGGGCAATTCCGTCAGTTTCCCCCCTCTACCCCTCCCCCGCCTTTCCACAGTGAACAGCTACTAAATCCCGTAGAGAGGGCTGATTCCCAACCCGAAAACCCTTACTCGGCCCTTATTACCGATCAATCGATCGTCATCATCCCTTCTTTCACCCTTGAGTCTGGTGTTACCTTGCACAACGTTCCCGTGGCCTACACGACGAGAGGTCAACTCTCTCCCGAACGTGACAATGCATTGGTGATCTGTCATGCTCTCAGTGGTAGTGCGGATGTCGCGGACTGGTGGGGTCCCCTGCTTGGTGGCCCCGGTCAAGCTTTCGATACATCGCGCTTCTTCGTCGTCTGCTTGAACAGTCTGGGTAGTCCGTACGGAAGTGCTAGCGCTGTGACCTACAAGGATGGCGATCCGTCCAAGGGCTTGTACGGTCCTGAGTTCCCTCTCACCACCGTCCGTGATGATGTAAAGTGAGTTCTCCTTCTCGTGCTTTATGGTGTAACCGCGTACTAACAACGCATAGGATTCACAAGATGGTACTGGATGACATGGGCATCCGTCAAATAGCAGCCGTGGTGGGTGGCTCCATGGGTGGTATGCTTACTCTTGAGTACGCCTACTTTGGCAAGGACTATGTTCGCGCGATTGTTCCGATCGCAACCTCTCCTCGTCATTCGGCATGGTGTATCAGCTGGGGCGAAGCCCAACGGCAGAGCATCTACAGCGATCCCAAGTATGAGGATGGCTACTACCCGTTCGACGATCCCCCGGCCACCGGTTTGGGTGCGGCGCGCATGTCCGCCCTTCTCACCTACCGTAGCCGCAACTCTTTCGAGTCTCGCTTCGGCAGAAACGTGCCCGATCCCTCCAAGCGGCAGACCATCAATGGCCAGGAAAGGTCGCCCACTCCCCCGAACGAGCACTGGGCTATCCATAACGACGGACACAAGAGTGGACGCAGCTCTCCCGGGCCGCAATCCGATGCTCATCAGTCTGAAGTGCAGTTCCAAGACCCTCAGTTCTCCGGTGCCAAAACCTTCAGCAAAACCATCGAGACCAACGGTTCCCAGAAGCGGCTCCCCACCTATTTCTCGGCCCAGTCGTACCTTCGGTACCAGGGTGAGAAGTTCGTGAAACGTTTCGATGCCAACTGCTACATCGCCATCACCCGCAAGCTGGACACGCACGATGTGTCCCGACACCGGGCCAGTCCTTCCGCGGAGAACCCCGTCCGTGAAGCCCTGTCTCAGATTGAGCAGCCTGCTCTGGTTCTAGGTATCGAATCCGATGGACTGTTCACTTTCGATGAACAGAAGGAGATCGCTGCCGGCATTCCGGATTCCCGCCTGAAGCGGATCGAGAGTCCCGAAGGTCACGATGCCTTCCTCCTTCAGTTCGAACAGGTCAACCGCTACATCCTCGAGTTCTTCCGCGAAGTCCTGCCGGACATCATGTCCAAGGAACCCGCCGAAGGAGTCGAGGCTGTGGACGGAGTCAACAAGCTAACCAAGAGCAGCACCTTCGGCGAAGCGGAAGTGGAAGATATCACCGCGTGGTAAACTGACCCCCAGAGTCCTATTAGATGTGGCGCATTAGTTGCAGCCTTTTATACTGCCTGATGTACCGCGTGGGCATGCCCCGGCCTTTCTCTCGGCCAGAGAGGACGCGCCGGCGGCTTCGGACCCCGCCAAGCTCAGGCGCCTTGGGGAAGTAGCGGTGCGGTCTTGTGATTTATTATTCTTAGCCAGTCAGAGAGATGAGCATCCAACTGCCTCTCTCGTTTCCTCTACACAGGTAAGGCTGTAAAAGAAGCATCCAACTGCTCTCCATCAGATAAGCCCTCACCGAGTGTTCTTTGCACACGTCAAGACACCGAGGGTGGTGGGCGACCTTCATAAGAAAAGTGTTCGATCGTACATAGATTCGTTATGGTAAATAGAATTTTTGTCTTCATCTCGTCTGTTGTCATAGCACTGGCCACCCGTTAGATACAGTGCCTAGCGGTGTGACCTTGTAATTAAGGTCTCGTATTCAAACACCTTTGTGAACTCAACTTTGAATTCAATCATCAACCTCAACCTACCACATGACACCACCATCACCCCCTCATCATCGCAAAGATCTCCCATCTTCTATCTAGTTCGATTCCCAACCCGCCCAGCAACCTACGGTTGCACCAGGAACCAACACCAACACCAACACTGGCTGCAGCTCTACTCCGCATATGATACCCGCCGTCGGGCCTCACCTGAATGCCCTCCTGAGGTCATTGCGGAGAACCACAAGACAGAGAATATGACGTGGTCGGCGCAGCAAAAGCGCCATGGATTTGGATATGCTTTCGGGAATTAATTACAAGGCAGAGGAATTGGGCTGCTTGCAGGAATTGAAGTGAAATGCGGAGTGCAGATGGGGAAAGTTCTGCGTGCAAAACTCTGAAGCCGGTTATTAGACTAGGTTTGAAGTTCGACGGGTAGAGGCGGGTTGGAGATGTGATGTATCATTTTGACCTGCGCTTGGGCGCTGCTGTGCGTGTGCGTGTGTGTGTATTATACAGTACGGGGTTGGCGTGCAGGATGAATGTGCCGTCATTAACCTTTTTTTGGGG